GGGAGGGATATGGAGTTACAATAGTGGGTGTGGCTACAAAAATGGGTGGGATAAAATTGTGACCAGGGTTACAATAATGAATGGGGCTACAATAGTGGATGTTACAAGAGTTCATGTTGTCTTTCCTTTTGTTTTGGTGCCTCTTCATATCCTGATATCCACCTTCATATTTTGTAATAGTGTATTGACAACAGCATTTTATATACAAATGGAGTTTAAAAACATGTCGGATAGATCCGAAAATATGGTTTCTGATTTTTTTTAAATATTGCAGCATAATTCTAGTACATATAACTAGGCTAAAACCTTAGAGTGAGAGATGCTCTGCCGTATCGTTAGATACAAGATAATATAAAATTCAGAGGTAAGTCATTTTTTTTTGATAAAGAGAGGAACAAATGTTGTCTTTCACTATAGACTTTGTTTACGAACTTTGCCAAAAGATCCCGATGTATATGTTGTTGCCACCTGTTTAGTACGGTTCAGGTCGAGATACCTTACCCCCCGCACAGAGTACCGAGTACACTAACACTACTGTCAGGTGGAAATACCCTACCCCCGTACAGAGTACCGAGTACACTAACACGACGGTCAGGTCGAGATACCTTACCCCCGTACAGGGTACCGAGTACACTAACACTACTGTCAGGTCGAGATACCTTATACCCGTACGGAGTACCGAGAACACTGACACGACTGTCAGGTCGTGATAACCTACCCCCGTACGGAGTACCAAGTACACTAACACGACTGTCAGGTCGAGATACCCTACCCCCCGTACAGAGTACTGAGTACACTAACTCTATTGTCAGGTCAAGATACCCTACCCCCGTACAGAGTACAGAGTACACCGACACGACTGTCAGGTCGAGATACCTTATCCCCGTACAGAGTACCGAGTACACAAACACTACTGTCAGGTCGAGATACCCTACCCCCGTACAGAGTACCGAGTACACTGACACGACTGTCAGGTCGAGATACCCTACCCCCCGTACAGAGTACCGAGTACACTAACACGACGGTCAGGTCGAGATACCTTACCCCCGTACAGAGTATATGTCGGAAAGTATTCTTATATTAAAAATTTTAAAATTTGAAATAATATTTCAACATGCCTTCATTTTCCAAGTTATACGTTATACTCTTCCTTTCCTTTATATTTCCTTCCGTTTCTTTGTATTTCCTTAATAATTCTCCTTATTCCGTCTGTCAGCAGTCTGACGCTGAAATGAAAGTGTTTGAGATTCAGTAAGATGGCTAATTGGTTATTAAATTTACAGTGTACACGAAAATGCCATTAAAAGCGTTCCTGGCACATTGCTTTGCCGCGAAGGTGTCGGCCATACGTTTGGGGAGGTGAAAACAGCTCGACCCGACATATCATATGCGATTACAACTGTCAGCCGTCATCCCCTTTCTGTTCCGATTCCTCGTTTCTGCCCATTCCCTGATAATTCTGACGCTCATCAGCGCCGACATATCCGATCGCTGTCCGTCAAAACCCGACATAGCAGAAAAGCTTGGCACCACTTCAATATGCCAATTTCACTTTCTAAGTTTACATCAATAAGCGGTATAGCCGATCTGCCCCGAATAACACTTGACCTATATTTGTTATCATTTCTTAAAGCAGATATACATGCTATGAGTCTGCATGGATAAAAGGAAGCGTCCCATTGATAACAAAATAACAACCACCGTTTTGCTTTATTGATTACATTAGTGTCTTAACCCGGAAACATACTTTTCCAATAAAACAAAAGATTCAAGCGGAAATAGAACATTTACTCAAAGCAAAAATAAAGTTATGCAATTTGGCTTCATTTAAGAAATCAAGCATGCGATGTCTGAAGTAACAATAAATGTAAACAAGAACTTTATTAAAAATAGTGTAAGGGCAATGGATACTGGGACCCTTAAATACTTTCTTTTTCCCCCTGGTAAATTGGAAATTGGACTAGGCACAAGTTATTGAACTGTACATAGGTTTGAACGTTGTTGTTTCCACAAGATCTGAATTCTCTTGACAACACGTCTCACAATTTTAGCCATGTTGAAATACCAACAAATAACTTTCTCAAACATAAGCATTTTTCTCTGGTGCTATGACGTAAAGTGTAAAGTGTGTAATATAGACCATATACATACCGTATTACATCAGTAAATCTGTACTATAGACTATGTATATTTGCACTATATACCATTTATAAATAATATTGTGTACTATAGACCTTGCGTATACCGTATTACGTCAGTAAAGTACTATTAACGACATATATACCGTATCTAGTCCGTTAGGTTGTGTAGTAAAGACTGTGTTTATACATGTACTGTTTCATCTCATTAAGATTTTGTTCAATAGACCATGTATAGATCAAGTGTATATCATACCACGTCAGCGAGGTTGTGTGACCATGTATAAACCGTATTATGTGAGGTAGGGTGGCCATGTATAACCCGTATTATGCCAGGTAGGGTGACAATGTATAAACTGTATTGTGCCAAGTAGGATGACCATAAAAATAACGCCAGGTACGCTATGTGGTATATCTTTGCGTTGTCTTTGGTCAGAACAGAAGCGATACCTTTCCTGACTTAGGCTTTTGGATAGGCCATGTTTATGCCATATCACGTCAGTAAGGCTGTGTACTAAGACTAGATATATATCGTATCACGTCAGTGTATATAAAACACATCATGTACATTTCCTTCAGACAAGGTAAATACCGTATCACCTCAGGTATAATGTGTACTATACAACAATGTATGTAGATCGTATCACCTCAGGTATGGTATGTACAACCTCCCAGGTGTCGAAATGATAAAATACAGAATCTCCGTTCTAATTTACACTTCCCCGGTGCCAAAATCATTTACGAAGAACATAATTACACAAGTGGTATTCTAAGTTAAACCCTAATTGCTTTTTCACGTTGCTTATTCCTGTATAGCCTTTCTTTTTCTCATGTTCATTTTGAGGTATTTTCCTACGTCTGCGGCTAAACAGTAAACCTACGTATTTTAGCAAGCACCGTACTGCAATGCAGTTTTTGTTTGTTTGTTTGTTCGTTCGTGGTTTAATTTCATTGCAATGCATATATATGCGTCTTATAATGACGGCAAGACGCACATTTTTTCATGACGTCACTACACATAAACGTTTTATCATGACGTTACGACACATAAGTTTATCACGACGTCAACACACATATATATAGTCCTATCATGATGTCGAGACATCATATCAGTTCTTATCATGGTGTCACGACACATAAGTTTATCATACGTCATTACTCACGTTTTATCATGACGTCACGACACACATTTGTCTATTATGACGTTACCTGTTGTATGATGACATCACTTAATATAATGATGTCACGATAAAATCAACGATAGAGTAAAGAAACAACACATAGGTAGCATGACGACGGATGACAAGAAGAGTAAGACAGAAGGGAAGTAACCACATTGCTCATATGACGACTGGTCGACTGACGTTTAACTCATTCACCCCTGAAGACACGTTTGAACTCTTCTAATTCAAAGGTTGGCATAGTTCATTATGGAATTTCAGGGGCGAATAAGCTAATGAATTATCTATAAACATCCAGAGTAATGTTGAGTGTTATTTTCCCCGCATCTACCATCAAAATACATACGAGGGTTGAAACAACACACAACTAGCAGTAAACATACATTATATGAAATAAATTGACTCCCTATTCTCGTATGAACATACGTTTGATAAAATAACCAAACCCTTAATACCGTGAATACCTTGCACTCCAGTGATATCGGGTGTATTCTGAATCCAATAGATCTGTTAGCTGCCAAATTAAAGCTTACATCATTTAACCAAGACCAGAGTGGGGATCTACAACTGTTAATAGTACATGTGCACTGTATTTGTATTAGAGAATCAGCGACGCGATTGGCTGAATCGGTCTATCAAAATTCCCCAGAAATAAAATTGTATTAAAATATATAAAGTTTTATTTGTGAAATTAATTTTGACCGAAATATTCGTTACGTAGATATATAGTTGGTATTAGAATCAATTACAGTGGCTTTCGTATAATAAGTAAATTTATTTTAGCGTGGGTGTATATCTTCTCGATGACGTGTTATGATATCAAGACTACGTGTTTGGTATGTAATGTCTTAAACTTTTAATGATAAGTAAAGTCAAGTATGTGTACATGCTTAAAATAAGTGGCCATTAGGGAGTTCACAAAGATAAAAACAATTCTGTATATTAATAATTAAAAGGATTCAAAGTGATTTCTTTACCAATTTTAACGAACTTTTCACCACAACAAAACCTAGAATATAGAAGTTTTTTACAATAAATTGGCTTATTTTAAAGTCCAAATTGCGTTGAGTTAAACACACTTCTAAAAGTGTATGATCTTTATTTTGCATATGCGATTAGCAAATTGGAAAATGGAAAAATCGTTTAGTTATGATGGTTAATTACTATAAAGCCTAAGGTCTCTTTATATCGAAACCGTCTTAAAAATTGTTTAAAAACATATTCATAACGATTATCATTTTATTTCAAATATGCTTTAAAAATGAAGTGGTTTTTTTATCTTGGCTATCTTGATAATGGCCAACTTAGGACTACGTATACAGGAAATGAAACGATTGAAATACATTTTTGTAAATCGAATTGCACGGTAATTTTACTTGAAGTTTACATTAATCACGGGTCGTATTCCAAGCTCATATGTTAACTGTAATGCTTACCATTTTTGTAAATGACCTTGACATTTCAGTAACGTGCACGTGGCCTGTGTTTCATCGCTTGCCCGTCAAACTGTTTCGTCTTCAGTTTTGCGGTTTCATAACCTGTTTCCTTTTGTATTAACTTCCGCGTTGTGTTTTTGGTATCAAATCAAAACTTACGATTTTGTCTCTGGCGTGTTTGTTATATATTATATTCATAGTTTACCATTATCCAGTAAGATGATACTTGCCTCTTGATGTTTCAGAAAGCATCTATAAATACCGGACGAATTTTGATGACGATGAGGTCAAAATGGAAATTCTAGACACCGCTGGACAGGTAACATATCAAACCCCCAATTTTATCAGAATAATATGTCTATGCATGTTCCCATAAAAACACAGTTCCGCGATTTGTTTTTAAACAGATATGTACCACACTTAGATCTATACTCCCCTTATTATCATTACTATAAAAGCACATGTCTGAGGAAACATTGTATCAACTAAAACATTTCTGTGAAAATAAACAACTTTCAGAAAAGGTGTGTTAGTTTACCTACAGTTATATGCAATTAAATGTAAATCCCATCTTGTCATGAAATAACAAAGAAATGGAATAGGTTTTAGTTATACGTTTAACAGTAACGGGAGAACTGACAATACCAAGTGTTAAACAGTGATGGGAGAACTGACAATATCAAGTGTTTAACAGTAACGAGAGAACTGACAATACCAAGTGTTTAACAGTAACGAGAGAACTGACAATACCAAGTGTTTAACAGTAACGAGAGAACTGACAATACCAAGTGTTTAACAGTAACGAGAGAACTGACAATACCAAGTGTTTAACAGTAACGAGAGAACTGACAATACCAAGTGTTTAACAGTAACGAGAGAACTGACAATACCAAGTGTTTAACAGTAACGAGAGAACTGACAATACCAAGTGTTTAACAGTAACGAGAGAACTGACAATACCAAGTGTTTAACAGTAACGAGAGAACTGACAATACCAAGTGTTTAACAGTAACGAGAGAACTGACAATACCAAGTGTTTAACAGTAACGAGAGAACTGACAATACCAAGTGTTTAACAGTAACGAGAGAACTGACAATACCAAGTGTTTAACAGTAACGAGAGAACTGACAATACCAAGTGTTTAACAGTAACGAGAGAACTGACAATACCAAGTGTTTAACAGTAACGAGAGAACTGACAATACCAAGTGTTTAACAGTAACGAGAGAACTGACAATACCAAGTGTTTAACAGTAACGAGAGAACTGACAATACCAAGTGTTTAACAGTAACGAGAGAACTGACAATACCAAGTGTTTAACAGTAACGAGAGAACTGACAATACCAAGTGTTTAACAGTAACGAGAGAACTGACAATACCAAGTGTTTAACAGTAACGAGAGAACTGACAATACCAAGTGTTTAACAGTAACGAGAGAACTGACAATACCAAGTGTTTAACAGTAACGAGAGAACTGACAATACCAAGTGTTTAACAGTAACGAGAGAACTGACAATACCAAGTGTTTAACAGTAACGAGAGAACTGACAATACCAAGTGTTTAACAGTAACGAGAGAACTGACAATACCAAGTGTTTAACAGTAACGAGAGAACTGACAATACCAAGTGTTTAACAGTAACGAGAGAACTGACAATACCAAGTGTTTAACAGTAACGAGAGAACTGACAATACCAAGTGTTTAACAGTAACGAGAGAACTGACAATACCAAGTGTTTAACAGTAACGAGAGAACTGACAATACCAAGTGTTTAACAGTAACGAGAGAACTGACAATACCAAGTGTTTAACAGTAACGAGAGAACTGACAATACCAAGTGTTTAACAGTAACGAGAGAACTGACAATACCAAGTGTTTAACAGTAACGAGAGAACTGACAATACCAAGTGTTTAACAGTAACGAGAGAACTGACAATACCAAGTGTTTAACAGTAACGAGAGAACTGACAATACCAAGTGTTTAACAGTAACGAGAGAACTGACAATACCAAGTGTTTAACAGTAACGAGAGAACTGACAATACCAAGTGTTTAACAGTAACGAGAGAACTGACAATACCAAGTGTTTAACAGTAACGAGAGAACTGACAATACCAAGTGTTTAACAGTAACGAGAGAACTGACAATACCAAGTGTTTAACAGTAACGAGAGAACTGACAATACCAAGTGTTTAACAGTAACGAGAGAACTGACAATACCAAGTGTTTAACAGTAACGAGAGAACTGACAATACCAAGTGTTTAACAGTAACGAGAGAACTGACAATACCAAGTGTTTAACAGTAACGAGAGAACTGACAATACCAAGTGTTTAACAGTAACGAGAGAACTGACAATACCAAGTGTTTAACAGTAACGAGAGAACTGACAATACCAAGTGTTTAACAGTAACGAGAGAACTGACAATACCAAGTGTTTAACAGTAACGAGAGAACTGACAATACCAAGTGTTTAACAGTAACGAGAGAACTGACAATACCAAGTGTTTAACAGTAACGAGAGAACTGACAATACCAAGTGTTTAACAGTAACGAGAGAACTGACAATACCAAGTGTTTAACAGTAACGAGAGAACTGACAATACCAAGTGTTTAACAGTAACGAGAGAACTGACAATACCAAGTGTTTAACAGTAACGAGAGAACTGACAATACCAAGTGTTTAACAGTAACGAGAGAACTGACAATACCAAGTGTTTAACAGTAACGAGAGAACTGACAATACCAAGTGTTTAACAGTAACGAGAGAACTGACAATACCAAGTGTTTAACAGTAACGAGAGAACTGACAATACCAAGTGTTTAACAGTAACGAGAGAACTGACAATACCAAGTGTTTAACAGTAACGAGAGAACTGACAATACCAAGTGTTTAACAGTAACGAGAGAACTGACAATACCAAGTGTTTAACAGTAACGAGAGAACTGACAATACCAAGTGTTTAACAGTAACGAGAGAACTGACAATACCAAGTGTTTAACAGTAACGAGAGAACTGACAATACCAAGTGTTTAACAGTAACGAGAGAACTGACAATACCAAGTGTTTAACAGTAACGAGAGAACTGACAATACCAAGTGTTTAACAGTAACGAGAGAACTGACAATACCAAGTGTTTAACAGTAACGAGAGAACTGACAATACCAAGTGTTTAACAGTAACGAGAGAACTGACAATACCAAGTGTTTAACAGTAACGAGAGAACTGACAATACCAAGTGTTTAACAGTAACGAGAGAACTGACAATACCAAGTGTTTAACAGTAACGAGAGAACTGACAATACCAAGTGTTTAACAGTAACGAGAGAACTGACAATACCAAGTGTTTAACAGTAACGAGAGAACTGACAATACCAAGTGTTTAACAGTAACGAGAGAACTGACAATACCAAGTGTTTAACAGTAACGAGAGAACTGACAATACCAAGTGTTTAACAGTAACGAGAGAACTGACAATACCAAGTGTTTAACAGTAACGAGAGAACTGACAATACCAAGTGTTTAACAGTAACGAGAGAACTGACAATACCAAGTGTTTAACAGTAACGAGAGAACTGACAATACCAAGTGTTTAACAGTAACGAGAGAACTGACAATACCAAGTGTTTAACAGTAACGAGAGAACTGACAATACCAAGTGTTTAACAGTAACGAGAGAACTGACAATACCAAGTGTTTAACAGTAACGAGAGAACTGACAATACCAAGTGTTTAACAGTAACGAGAGAACTGACAATACCAAGTGTTTAACAGTAACGAGAGAACTGACAATACCAAGTGTTTAACAGTAACGAGAGAACTGACAATACCAAGTGTTTAACAGTAACGAGAGAACTGACAATACCAAGTGTTTAACAGTAACGAGAGAACTGACAATACCAAGTGTTTAACAGTAACGAGAGAACTGACAATACCAAGTGTTTAACAGTAACGAGAGAACTGACAATACCAAGTGTTTAACAGTAACGAGAGAACTGACAATACCAAGTGTTTAACAGTAACGAGAGAACTGACAATACCAAGTGTTTAACAGTAACGAGAGAACTGACAATACCAAGTGTTTAACAGTAACGAGAGAACTGACAATACCAAGTGTTTAACAGTAACGAGAGAACTGACAATACCAAGTGTTTAACAGTAACGAGAGAACTGACAATACCAAGTGTTTAACAGTAACGAGAGAACTGACAATACCAAGTGTTTAACAGTAACGAGAGAACTGACAATACCAAGTGTTTAACAGTAACGAGAGAACTGACAATACCAAGTGTTTAACAGTAACGAGAGAACTGACAATACCAAGTGTTTAACAGTAACGAGAGAACTGACAATACCAAGTGTTTAACAGTAACGAGAGAACTGACAATACCAAGTGTTTAACAGTAACGAGAGAACTGACAATACCAAGTGTTTAACAGTAACGAGAGAACTGACAATACCAAGTGTTTAACAGTAACGAGAGAACTGACAATACCAAGTGTTTAACAGTAACGAGAGAACTGACAATACCAAGTGTTTAACAGTAACGAGAGAACTGACAATACCAAGTGTTTAACAGTAACGAGAGAACTGACAATACCAAGTGTTTAACAGTAACGAGAGAACTGACAATACCAAGTGTTTAACAGTAACGAGAGAACTGACAATACCAAGTGTTTAACAGTAACGAGAGAACTGACAATACCAAGTGTTTAACAGTAACGAGAGAACTGACAATACCAAGTGTTTAACAGTAACGAGAGAACTGACAATACCAAGTGTTTAACAGTAACGAGAGAACTGACAATACCAAGTGTTTAACAGTAACGAGAGAACTGACAATACCAAGTGTTTAACAGTAACGAGAGAACTGACAATACCAAGTGTTTAACAGTAACGAGAGAACTGACAATACCAAGTGTTTAACAGTAACGAGAGAACTGACAATACCAAGTGTTTAACAGTAACGAGAGAACTGTCAATACCAAGTGTTTAACAGTAACGAGAGAACTGACAATACCAAGTGTTTAACAGTAACGAGAGAACTGACAATACCAAGTGTTTAACAGTAACGAGAGAACTGACAATACCAAGTGTTTAACAGTAACGAGAGAACTGACAATACCAAGTGTTTAACAGTAACGAGAGAACTGACAATACCAAGTGTTTAACAGTAACGAGAGAACTGACAATACCAAGTGTTTAACAGTAACGAGAGAACTGACAATACCAAGTGTTTAACAGTAACGAGAGAACTGACAATACCAAGTGTTTAACAGTAACGAGAGAACTGACAATACCAAGTGTTTAACAGTAACG